GTCAAAGTATGTTAGACTATTGTCTGCATGGGAACGTGCACATTTTTGAAGGTCCCGCCCACAAGAGAGCCAGTTTGGTGTAGTGGTTAAGGGCGCGGACTCTAATCTGGGAGAACCGGGTTTGATTCCCCACGCCTCCACTTGCAGCTGCTGGATGACTTTGGGCAAGCCGCAGTTCTGATAAGAGCTGTTCTTGAAAAAGATAAGTTTCTGTCAGAGCTCTCTCAGCCCCACCGACCTCACAGGGGAGGGGAAGGGAAAGGAGACTGTAAGCCGCTCTGAGACTCCGAATGGAGAGGTATTAATCCAGCCTCTTCTCTCTTCTTCTTCTTCACGGGTGCCATTTTTATTCTGTCAGCTCCCTCATGACCACCGTTTTCTCCGCTGACGCATCAGAGAGTATGGGTTGCCAACCTCACAGTGGTGGCTGGAGATCTCCTGGGATTACAACGGACCTCCAGGAGACAGAGATCAGTTCCCCTGGAGAAAACAGCGGTGTTAGAAGGCAGACTCCATGGCATTCTACCCCACTGAAGTCCCTCCCCTCACGCTCCCCCCCAAAAAAATCTCCAGGGATTTCCTAAACCAGAGCTGGCCATGCTATTTATGAGGGCTTTAAAATAACTGGTCATGACGTCCGCTCTATGAAGTTACAGTGCCATATAGCTATTACTGTGATTTCTGTTTAAGCCCCGAGAAAGGCCTTGAGTGACAAACTGGAGCAAAATGCAGAGGAAACGGTGGCTCATGGAGGAAAAGTGTCCGTAAAACTGCTGTAAGGATGCTTTGCCACCGACTTGAATGCCTCTATCAGGAGGAACGAGACCATCTTATACTATCCCTTTCTGTCTAGTTTTAGCCCTCTGCAGTCTTATCTTGACTTTAGGCCAGAAGTCCTTCGTAAATTCCTCTTAGAAAACATTCAGATCTCAGTGACTTACGCTGTGGCAAAATTTTGTTGCTTAGCTACTAGGAAACATAAACTTATTTTAGCTGAAAAAAATTGTATGATTCTCTTATTAACATTATTTTATCTTACTAATTTTATTAACTTTCTCTTGTTTATGTTTTTATACTATTCCCATGTTATTACTGTTTTTTAATAACGCCGATTCTATTAAATTTTCCAGGCAGATCTGATTAATTTAATATCTCCCTCCCCCCTTTCATGTTGTTCTAACAAAATCACCTCTAAGATGGCCAAATTTTGCCCCTCGGCAAGATCAACAAGGAAGCGGCTGGTCAGGTCTTCTTCTTCATTGTCTCTACTATTGAAATCAGCCTGCCGGGCTGCCTGGAAATCTCATTGTTTGCAAATGTGCTGATTATTATGAGTGTCGATCGTGACTGATCTATGATTGGAACTAATAAAGAAAGAAATGCCTCTGCATCCTTAGGGGTAACACGAGATTCCTCACCGTGTAGATGACCACCATTTACTCCATGTCCATCCATGCGGGTGAAGTGGAATCAGTAGCCGTTAGCTTCCAGCCATTTGCACCCTTCCAGGCAGCGTCTCTAACCACCTGCTTAAGAGCCATTAAGGGAAAGAAGTCACAAGCTGCCCAGCCAAAGATGGTGCTTCTTACAAGATTGCCTCCACGGTCTCCAAGGAGAAAGGCAAGGTGGGGGGGGGGGAGAACCAACCTCTTACAGAGAAGTGAAATATTATTTACTAGTCTGCTCTCTTGCTTTGTTCCCAGTTTGGGTTCTGGAGCCACAGATTGAAGCTCAGCTGCTCCAGGGAAGGTCACCTGCTGTCAACCGCCCACGAGGCAGATTTACCACTAGACGGGGAGAGAAGGGTGCCAGTTTTAACTCCACGCATTCCAGGGCTGAGGAAGAAGGCAGGCTGGTTTAATGTGTAAAACAAAACGGTTGTCTCGAGGGGGTTTCTCCTCTGAGTCCTGGAATGCCGCCCCCCCCCCCACTTTGACACGGCCGATCTGGTCACCTGGATCCACAACATGGTAGCACTGAGACAAGACTGCTGTAATTGTACTCTGCACAGGTCTCCCCTCAAAGGCAATGTGGAGACTGCAGTTGGTACAGAATGCAACAGCTTGCTTGGTTATTATCGGGAGCTAGGCAGAGCGTGTCTGTTGCCCCCCGTTGGCTGCCTAAGCTCAATTCAAGGTATTGGCTGTGGCATGCAAAGCCCTTCATGATCTTGGTCCACCATATCCAGAGGATGGCCTCTCTGCCCGGGCTCTGCCATGGCAGCTCACTCATCTGCACAGGGACTTCTGCAGGTGCCACCTTGTAAATGGGCAAATTCAACCACTGCCCATATATTTCCCATATATTCAAGAGGGAACTGAATAAACATATGGAGCAGAGGTCCATCAGTGGCTATTAGCCACAAGGTATAGGTAGGAACTCTCACTCCAGGGCAAGGGATGCTCTGTATTCTTGGTGCTGGGGGGGAGGCAACAGTGGGAGGGCTTCTAGTGTCCTGGCCCCACTTCTGGACCTCCTGATGGCACCTGGTGTTTTTGGCCACTGTGTGACAGAGTGTTGGACTAGATGGGCCATTGGCCTGATCCAACATTGGCTTCTCTTGCTCTTATGTTATTGGCTTGCTCTGTTATGGGCGCCCACCTTAAGGAACGGCCTTCCTGGTTAGGAAGGGTCCCGCTTTCCAGAGATTCCATAAACTATGCAAAGCTGAACTATTCAGGAGGTCTTTTTAATGCAGGTTATATTTATTTTATTTATATATCGGATTTGTGAATTGCCGTCCATGTGAGCACAAGACTCTGTATAGATGTCAATATTTCTTCTTGACCCACTTTGGACGATGTTGCCGTTTTGCAGGTAGGGCGAGGAGGGGGCCAAAGTGAAACGACAGAGGAAAGGAGAAGGGTGCCAGCTATGACGGAAACCGTTGCTGTCCTCAGCCAAAGGCCTGGCGGAGCATTCCGCCTGGCCCTGGGGGTATTTGGCAGAGAGTTACACCAGGTGGGAGCCAGGGCCAAAGAAGTCCACCTTCCAAAGAGGCCATTTCCTCCAGGGGAACTGATCTCTGCAACCTGGAGACCCGTTGTGATTTCGGGATATCTCCAGCCCCTACCTGGAGACTGGCAACCCTGACTTGAATTAAGAAAATGGTATTGGGGGGAGTTAAGCCCTTCCTGGTCTTGTCAACCCCCCCCCGTCACTTTTGTAGGCCTCTAGGGCTGCTTTTACCTCTAAAAAGAAGAAGGAGGAGGAGGAGGAGGAGGAGGAGGAGGAGGAGGAAGAGAGCGAGAGGAGGAGGAGGGAGAGAGAGAGAGAGAGAGAGAGAGAGAGAGAGAGAGAGAGAGAGAGATTGTTACTACTGATGTCTGTCAGGTTTGACCCTCCTCAACAAGCAAGAGCGGTCTTTTCCCTGCCCACCGAGTCTCCTCTATATTCATCCCCCCAGGCTGTTTTTTAATTGATTTCCCTCCCCTGCTGGGCTCTAAGACTGGAAGTAAGCTTCACTGAGACAAACGCAATTGAAGGGAGGGGGATTTACAGGGGGAATCTGACAGCTACAGAAAGGGCAAAGTCACCCCTCCCTCTCTCCTGGCAGCCAATCCTGCAAATGCCCCAGACCTCCCCCCCCCCACTGTTTGCTTTATGCCAGTGACCATGAACCTGCGTTCCGGAAAGGTCTCTTTGCCCAGAGAAGGAGGAAGAGACTGGATTTACGCCCCACCTTTCACTACCTGGAGGAGTCTCAGAGCGGCTTACAATCCCTTTCCCTTCCCCTCCCCACAACAGACACCCTGTGACACAGGTGGGACTGAGAGAGCCCTTTCGAGAACTGCCCCGGAGAGAACAGCTCTGAAAGAACTTGTGACTGACCCAAGGTCACACCAGCAGCAGCATGTGGAGGAGTGGGAATCAAACCCAGTTCTCCCAGATTAGACTCTTACCCACTACACCACACTGGCTCCCTAAAGCAGAGTAACACCCCAACCTGAAGCTCATGGACTTCACTGTCCTTAGAGGGGGTAACTATGCCTTCTGACTTGGAAGCCAAGTCTTACGGAGGCCAGCTAATACCTGATGATTTGGGGCATGGAGTCTGGGGAGGGAAGGGTTTTGAGAGGGGAGGGACTTCCACGGGTTACAATGCTAGAGAGTCCGACCTCCAAAGCAGCCATTTTCTCCAGGGGAATTGATCTCTGTAGTCAGAGAATCAGTTGCCATAGCGGGAGATCTCCAGGCCCCACCTGGAGACTGGCAACACTACTCATTTGGGTCTAGGAAAAACAAAACAACACTTCAGATTTCTAGGAAACATCCTTGAATGGTTGGGAGGCAGAATCAAGTTTTGAGTCCACAGCTCTGCACAAGTCTAGATGGGGAGGGGGAGAAATACACTCAGAAACAACCCCTTAGGAATAACACCACAAAGGTAAGTGTTTCAGAGTGCAACGATTTCCTGGAATTAATCCCTATTGAAGAGACCTGAGTAGGTTTCTGAGGAGACCTATTTAGGCTTGCTCTGTAACACAGTGTTCTCAGTGACCCTTGCAACGACTCTAGAAAGTCCACATATCTGAAGATGGCGGAGGGGGCACGGAGACTGAAAGACCTTTGCCTAAAAATAATAATAAGAGATTGGATTTATACCCCGCCCTTCACTACCCAAAGGTGTCTCAGGGCGGCTTACAAACTCCTTTCCCTTCCCCTCCCCACAACAGACACCCTGTGAGGTAGACGGGGCTGAGAGAGCTCTGACAGAAACTGCTCTTTTTCAAGGACAGCTCTTATCAGAATTACGGCTTGCCCAAGGTCATCCAGCAGGTGCAAGTGGAGGAGTGGGGGAATCAAACCCGGTTCTCCCAGATTAAAGTCCGCACACTTAACCACTACACCAAACTGGAGAGCCCCGTGACGCCTTGAAGGCCAACACATCTCTTGGAACTGAAACGCTGATGGGTCTGAGGCCACCTACAGCAGACTTCAGGGGACAGGTTGCAGATTCTTGGCACATCCTGTCCAAAAGCGGTCAGGGCTTCACTCACCTCCTCAAAGGAAAAGCCCTGTTTGAAAATGAGGGGAAGGTAGTCCTTGGCGTTGGCCCTTTGGGGCAAGACGAGTTGCATCCATCCCAACTGGTCCCACCCTTGGAACAGCCTTCTACTGAATCAGACCCTCATTGGTCCATCAGGGTCAGTCTTGTCTACTCAGACTGGGAGCAGCTCTCCAGGGTCTCAGGCTGAGAAAGGTCTTTCACATGACCTGTTACCTGGTCCTTTTCACTGGAGATGCCGGGGATTGAACCTGAGATCTCGACCCCTGAGCCACAGCCCCTTCTCTCTTGAAACCCTTCAAAAGGACAAAAGGCGTCAGGAAAGTAACAAACATTTACCACCAAGCAGCTCTTCTGGAATGATAATGAAGCTGAAGCTCAAATACTTTGCCCACCCAATGAGAAGAAAGCACTCACTGGAGAAGACCCTGATGCTGGGAAAGATTGAAGGTCAAAGAAGACGGGGACGGCAAAGGATGAGATGGTTAGACAGTGTCATAGATGCAACAAACATGAAATTGAGCCAACTTCAGAGGACGGCGGAAGACAGGAGGGCCTGGCGGGAGATGATCCATGGGGTCGCGAAGAGTCGGACTCGACTGTGCGACTGAACAACAACAAGCTCTTCTGGGCAGGAGTCCTAACTTTGCATTAGGATGTGTGTCAAATATCGCTTGGTTAGAAACAGCATTTTGCTTTCTTTCGAAAGCATATTCTGTCTCTGACTCCACTCCCTTTCCCTGTATCTCTTCTGTGCTTGGTAAACTCTGGGACCGGACTGAATGCCCCAGGCCAAGTCACTGGCTAACACACCCCCCCCTGAGGTTAGCTACATCCAGCCTTGTGTGGCTGGACTGCAAAAGGAAGAAGAGGCAGTTAAGTTCACCAGCAACCAAGAGGCATGCCAGATCTCCCTCTCTGCAGCGGGAGGGGCATTCCTAGGTCTACTCCCCCCACACAGACATCTCCTGTGCAAGCCAATTCTATGTTCTTATTAAAAGGGTAGTTGAACAACAGTTGTAGAAAACCAGTCTCTCACTGGCAGTCAGCCGTAATAGCTGAATGCTTCTGCGTTGCAAAGGAGACGCTCTACCCCCCCCCCGAGCCACGGGCTCACCCTTGCTTATAACGCACTGTAATAATCTCATGGGAATAGGGCCACAGCAGGTACACAAGACAAGGCGACCAAGCCTTGGCGTGGCAGGAGAGTCCTCCTGAAATTGCCTTCCTTCCTTCCGCTCCCCCACCCCACCCACACCTGGGTTGTTACATTATGGGCAGGGCTTGTTGCCAATGCTACTTTGTGAGCTACAGGCATTCAAGTTGTGAGTGAGCAATTTGGTTGCTGCATACATTAGTTTGCTCTGGAGCCCTCCTTCCTGAGCTAAGACAAAAATGTGTGAGCCGAAGGCTAAAAAACTACGAGCTAGCTCACACTAGCTCAGCTTAGAGGGAACACGGCTTGCTGCATTTCTCACACTTCTGAATGGTGCCCACGGTCGCCTCCTGGGCGTTTGGAGGACACGCCAAAGGACAGGGAATATCTATTCATTCTTATTTATTTGTTTTTATATACTTCATGCATAGTCCATTTTTCTCACTTGGGCCTGTCGTTCCACGACAGACTCAAGGCAAGATCACCCAGAGTGAGTCAAGACCATCAGTGGGATGGGACATTCAACAATGAAATAGGAGAGCATTAGATGGAAAGATAAGTACCTGATAATTTATATATTAACATCTGCTAGAATATTAATAGCCAAATATTGGAAGCAAGAATATATACCTAACCAAGAAGACATAGTACATAGGTTATTAGAAGTAGCAGAGATGGATAAACTAAGTGTAACGCTTCAGGGACAAAAGGAAAGTCTGTTTATAGAAAGATGGGAACGTCTGTATAATTGGATAAATGTGGAAGTATTGTAAAGTGACTCCATAAGCGAGGGTGATGAACTATGTAACATGGAATATGTTTTTGGTTTTTATGAAAATAAAATACTATTTAACACCAACAATGAAATAGGATTTGGGTTGTGGAACCAAGCAGAAGTAAAACAAATCAGAACTGCAGCAAGGCATAAGGGTTCAGCATGACACATGAAATAATGCAAAATCGCACAATAGGATCCATCCCGCAGCAAACTATACACAATAGTAAAGACCACAGTCCCCAAAAATTTCTCCAAGTAACTTTTGCACAGTGAGACCCTAATGAGGAGCCACATGGGTTGGTTTCAGATCATCAGCTATGGATGCAGAAGATCATAGGTTCAATCCCTGGCTTCTCCAGCTAAAAGGATCAGCTAGAGGGAATGTGAAAGACCTCTACGCAGAAAGCCGCTACCAGTCTGAGTAGAGTCGGGACTGACCTTGATAGACCAATGAGAACATAAGAAGAGCCCTGCTGGATCAGACCGGTGGTCCATCTAGGGCACCATCCTATCTCACACAGAGGAGGAGGAGAAAGAGAAGGAGAAGAAGAGATTAGAGTTATACCCCACTCTTCACTACCCGAAGGAGTCTCGGAGTGGCTTACAATCCCTTTCCCTTCCCCTCCCCTCCCCACAACAGACACCCTGTGAGGTAGGCGGGGCTGAGAGAGCTCCATCGAGGACTGCTTTTGAGAGAAGAGCTCTGAGAGAACTTGTGACTGACCCAATGTCACACCAGCAGCTGCATGTGGAGGAATGGGGAACCAAACCCGGTTTTCCAGGTTAGAGTCTGCTGCTTTTAACCATTACACCAAACTGGCTAACCAGTTCCTCTGGACAGCCAACAACAGGGCATAGAGGCCAATAAGAACGTAGGAAGAGCCCTGCTGGACCAGACCAGTGGTCCATCTAGTCTAGCCTCCTGTCTCACACAGTGGCCAACCAGTTCCTCTGGGGGGCCAGCAACAACAAGGCACAGAGGCCGAGACCTTCCCCTAATGCTGCCTCCTGGTCTGACTCAGTACAAGGCAGTTCCATGGAGTATTAATGAGTGGAGGGGAGATGTGGCTCAGCGGAAGAGCATCCGCTTTGCATGCAGAAGGTCCCGGGTTCAATTTCTAGTTAAATTGGATCTAGTACCTATATCTGAAATCCTAAACAGCTGCTGCCAGCCTGAGTAGACAAGAATACCCTTGATAGGAAAAAGGTCAGACTCAGTAGAAGGCAGGTTAATGTGTTTTAATCATTATTATTATTTGGGGCATGTATCTTCCCCTTTGGCGTGAATATTGGTAGTCTGATTTGAGGCAGAGTCTATATGAATATTCACATAATTCCATGACGTGCCTCAATTTTTTCACTCTTTTGGAACTGATTTATCTGCTTCATTCATTGATGCCATATCTGTCTCTCCAGGGGGGACCCAAAGTGCCTTACATTGTTCTTGTGTCTGCCGCTTTATCCTCTTGACCACCCTGTAAGGTAGGTAAGGGCTGAATGTGTGCGACTGGCCCAAGGTCACCCAGCAAGCTTCCATGACAGACTGGGGAATTCAAACCCGGGTCTCCCAGATCTAGTCAGACACGTTCATCATTACTCCACACTAGCTTGGTCCAATTAGGACAGAAATCTACTTTTTGAACATGGACCTGATGCTCTGATAGGGTTGCCAACAGGCCTGGAGAAATGTGCCTTGGTTCGGCTTAGTGACTAGAAATGGTTAGCTGAAGGTTTTCATGGCATGGAGGTAAATAACAGCCCATTAAACTTCTGCTAAAGGAATAGGGCACTTTTTCTTCAGGCAGTTGGCAACTCCAGGCCTTGAAACCTGTTTTTAAGGTGGGCAGGAAGTCCGACAGCTTCCTTGAACACTAAGATGGGCCAGGGATTAAACTTGAAAACAGAAGTCACAGGAGAAACACCTCCCAGCTTCCACCTTGAAAGATTAGGGAAGAGAGGGAAAAGGTCGAGATCTCTTGACACTTTGGATATATCTGGGGGGGGGGGGGGGTGGGCTTTCTCCCTTCGT